CGTCCTCCCCCCCCCCCATGAAATTTGGCCAAAGGGATATTCCCAAAATCTTTGTCCCAAACCAAGTTTTCCTTGTTGGATTACAGTCCCGGCCCAGTTTGTTTCTTAATTAGTCACATTCAAATTAAATGCTTCCCTGTTGTTAATACCTGCGCTCCTCCGCCGTGGCTAACAGCCAAGGCCAAATTACCTTGGGATCACTTGGAGCTCTGGTGGAAAGGCCTATTTTGGGGGCGGCTTATTCAGAAGCGTCTGCTATCCTAGCGGGAGACGTCAATGCTTCGGTGGGTTCAAACTGCACGTACGGTTTGACAGCCTATCGCTGGATGGTGAGTGGTGGGGATAATTATACTCTGGGTTGGAGTCAAAGGATGGGCTTTGTGACGTGCGGGAGGACTACGCTTTGCCCAAATGGCAAATAGAAATGATTCAAAAGGAACAAATGGAGATGAAGGTAGCCATCAGATGGCACTGTATTCGGATTCAGTAGATGTTTTTAAAGCCCACTCTTCAAGCTCCTAACTTGAACTTTCAACCGGTTGGTTCAAATCCAGCTTTATTTGGTAGGAAAGGGCCATCCAAGGTTCCGGTGGTCTTCCTTGGGCAGGAGGCAAGTTTGGTTGACTAGATTCAGGTTTCACCAAGTTAAGGTAGCAAAAATATCGGCCGATGGATCAGAAACAGCTGATGAGCAACTCTGGATCCTGATTCAAACCCCATGGGACCCTGTATCAAGGCCACATTCGGAGGTGTTGCAGGCGTCCCAACTCCAAATGTTGGTTTGATCTTGAATGCAGGAAGACAAAAAGGCACCGGGGCGGGGGGGGGGGGGCTGCCTTGTTCTTCCACAAACCTTGTGCCAGCAGAAATACAACATAAAGCCTTCATTAGGAATGAAGAGATGAACAGCCTGAGAGAGAATTGATAGCAAATCATATCAGCTGTTAGGTTGAAAAATTCTGCCGATTTTTGGCACTGGATTAGAAGAGGCTTTGTTGTTACACAATGGACCCACAGTCGACTGTGGGATTTTAGCAGGCGTTTGGGAGAAATATTTGAGTTCCATCTTTGCAGCAGCTTCTGGAAATGAGCTGCTAATCGAACCTATTACCAGAACGACCCCCTCTCGCATCCTCAGAGGTAGCTCAGCCTCTTTCCCAACTGGGATCAGGAGAACTGAATTGCAAGGCCCTCTTCTTACAGCCCTCTTCCACCCTGTGGACTATATGCCTGTAAGACTCAGGCTTCTGACCATCCTACTTAGAGAGGGAGAGGGGGGGGGGAGAGGAAAAGCCTCCCCCCCACTTTATACCTGACTTATAGATCCCGGGTCATGATAATGGAAGGGAAAGGATCAAGCCAGGAGTTTGGGGCCTTGGCCTCCCAAGAGAGAGGAGGGGGGCTATCCCACGTGCGTCCTTCTACGCTTAGCCGTGGGGTGCCTTTCCCTTCCATTATCATGACCCGGGATCTATAAGTCAGGTATAAAGTGGGGGCGAGGATTTTCCCCCCCCCCCCCCCTCTCCCTCTCTAAGTAGGATGGTCAGAAGCCTGAGTCTTACAGGCATATAGTCCACAGGGTGGAAGAGGGCTGTAAGAAGAGGGCCTTGCAATTCAGTTCTCCTGATCCCAGTTGGGAAAGAGGCTGA